ACATTGTTTATCCAAGCATGTCTCAGACTAGCAGGTTTAGAGAAGAAATCTGGGCAAGCAATGGTCCTATGTAATAGTCCTGTGCAATCAAGACAAGAAGAAAGAAAGACATGTAAGGGCAGGTGTAAATTATTGCCTTGGAACATAATATAGCAAATAATAGTAAAATGGAGCCTTTTTCTAGTTCCTTGATGATAATGCCTCTATTTTGCCATGCTACATGAAACACATACTCACCGGGTGTGATGATACATGCCTTTCTCCCAGCACTCAGGAGGCAGAGGCAGATGGATCTCCATGAGTTCGAGGCCAGCCTGGTCTACAGAGTGAGTCCTGACACAGCCAGCGCTGTTACACAAAAAAAAAAAAAAAACCCTGTCTTGAAAAAAACCAAAACAAAAATCAGTTAAAGAAACATATATTTATGGGCCAGGAAAAAAAAAAGTAAGGACAACAGTTTCTTCATAAAAAGATCTAATTGAAGCCAAGAGATATGAGTTATGTAGGACAAGCTGGCCACAGTCATAGCTCTTCATCTTTTCCTGAGAGAGCTATTATGTTACATTTCCAAAAAATTACAAATGTGGTGTTTTTAAAGAAGACATAAAATTATGATAGACCGTTTATAAATGGGTATCATAAAACTGTTGCATTTATGCTTTATTATTAACCTTTGGTTGTCAAATCTCTCAATGTCTAACCTCCTGGGCTCTGGAGAGAGGCTTCAACAGTTAGAATGTTTGCTGCTCTTGAAGAGAACCCAAGTTCAGTTCCCAGTACTCACATTAGGCAGCTCACACCCACCTATAACTAGGAATCTGACACCCTCTCCTGGAAGATCTGTCTTCCTAGACAGATGTAGAAACATGCGCCTCTTATCCGAGTGTTGAGGCTAGAGGATTGCCGTGAGTCCAAGGCTAGCTAAGGCTCCATAGTGTATGTCAGCGGGCACAGGCAACCAACTGCCAAAGGAGCTGCTCCATTATTAGGGGGAGGTTTATATTGTAAATAAGAGGCAGAAAATATACAGAGGTATTTGGAAGAGTCAAGAACAGAAAAAGAAGCTTTGACTTTTAAATATATAACAAGTGCTTGTGATTAGGGATTGTAGGTGCCCGGAGGCCAGCATGGACTTTGATAATTAACCACAGGGACATGGCAGTGGAGCCGTATGTCCCTTCTGCCAGAGGCAGGGGAAATGACTCCTTTTGGGGAAGGAAAATCTTTTTCACAAGTTCCTGAGGAATGTTAGACGTACCTAACCACTAGAAATCCTATAATCCAGCTTTAGCCCATTTCTGGATATATGAACAGCCTGAGTCCTAACACATAAAAAAAGAAAGAAACAATCCATCCCTAGGAACTACTAGTATGTTAAGAGAAGATCATTGATAACTTCACAGGTTTGCTGCTGCAGTTTAGAAACACTAGCAGCAGGTGGAGATGCTGTTACTTTTAAAACACTAAATGAGTATTCTCTGGGCGCAAAGGAGCAGCTCTACATGGGACCAGGAACTAATTCACACAGTGGTATAATCCTTGTGTCACCAGGGAGAGGCATCATCACTCCTCACTGCTTAAAAAGCCAAAGATAATCTATGTGTGAGTGAGGAGCTCCTCGTGTTTTTCAGAGATTATCAAGTAAGCAGGAACCATGAGATGCCTCACCAAGTAAAGTGCTTACCACAGATGATGATCTGAGTTTAATCCCTAGGCCCCACATGGTGGAAAGCTGCATACAGAGACACACATAAATAAATGAAAAATAAATGTAATGAAAAATTAAGATAAACAAGTAATAAATGTATATTTTGGGGGGTATTTTTTTGTTTGTTTGTTTGGTTGGTTTTGGTTTTTTGGTTTTTGGTTGTGGTGTCGTCCCCCCACTCGAGACAGGGTTTTCCTGTGTAGCTTTGGTGCCTGTCCTGGATCTCACTCTGTAGACCAGGCTGGCCTCAAACTCACAGAGATCTGCCTGGCTCTGCCTCCCGAGTGCTGGGACGAAAGGTGTGTGCCGCCGCTACCACCCAGCAATAGATGTATAGTTTAATATGGCTCAATTCTGATTAAAAAATGAAATAATCTAAGACTGGGAATAAAGATTGATGGTAGAGCACATGCCTAGCATGAATAAATTCCTAGGTTCAATCCCTAGTATTGCTCCCTCCTCCTAATAAAAACATTTTTTAAAGGAAAAAAAGAAAGAAGAAAAAGTGTGAAAAATTAAAAAAGTGTTCTGTGCCAACCACAAGGAGGCGTGCTCACAGTGTCCCAGATGACTATTAGAACCAGCAGAATCATAGTGCAAGCACTCTGAACAAGAGTTCTATATTTAAGTGCCCATGGGTGGAAATATTCCAGAGGTGTTAGGTATTTAAAATGACTATTTTTATATGCTCTTGGTATTTAAGATGCAGACATATGAGCAAAGACATTCATGCAGAGGAAATTAGACGTGCCAAATAAAGGAGATAAGAATTTGGAGATGAAGATCATTACAGAGCACTTGGGAGTCCATAATGCTGTGAGAATTTAAAGGAAGCTTACCAGAATTTTATTCAGTCTACTAAAGACACCATTTTTCCCTTACTATGCTTCCCTACCCTTTCTTATGTACCTATTATATTTTTAACCAAAAGAGTATTAAAATTCAGAGAGGGAACTGGCTAGAGAAACTGCTTTGAGGCTTTGAATGATATTAAAATAGAATTGATGTTATTTTCAAAACATAGTTGGCCATTTATTTGTATTCATAGTCATGCCAAATGCACTCTGTAGCTTCCCAGTGAAGATCACAATTTGTTCCCCAGGAAGTCTGGTGGGAATGAGACAGCAGTACAACAGCAAACCTTCTCTCTCTCTCTCTCTTTCTCCCCCCCGCCCCCATCATTTCCCTGTCTGCTTCACCCAGCAGGTCAGTCTGGGAGCCTTCTGGTTCTTCCTTCCTCTGCTTCATTTTGCATAAATAAGATCCATATACAGGATTTCCTGGTCTTTGTAACCTGTAATAAATTAGTAGACTATTTAGTGTTTGTTCTGCTTGCTGTATTCTGGATGATTTCATGTTGATTATGCACACCTTTTTTCCCCCCATCCAGCACTCAGGAAACAGAGGAAGGTAGATCTCTAAGTTTGAGACACACTTGGTCTGCATAGCAAGTTCCAGGCCAGCCAGAACTACATAGTAAGACCCTGTCCCAAAAGAAAAACAAGCCCAAGCCCACAGCTGTACAATGTCTGTTGTGTGGCAATAGCATCTCTTGCTCAGTCAGTCTCCTATATACAGACATTAAGGTTTTCAGTACTATCCAGTCCTGAGCTGCACCACCATTACTCTGTGTGTCTGTGCGGTGAGGCTCACTTCTGGGGTAAATTAGAGGCCATGTATGTGTCGTTTGGTTAGGCACCATCAGACCTCCTTAGGTAAGCATAGAATGCATTACTGTCAGCACTTCGAGTGACTTCCTCTTTCCCTGGGGTTTTACTAACTGAAATTCACACTTGATTTTTTCAATTTTTGACAGTCCAGTTTGCTTCAATTATCTCTCTCGCTACTTGAGTAAAGCTGAATATCATTCACATCATTGAGGGCTATTTGAGGTTTTTTTTTTTATTATTTTGTTTTGATTTGTTTTTTATTATATTATTATTTGGAGAGGTACCTGAATGGCACAGCACTTGAGTGGAAGTCAGTAGGTCTGTGGAGTTTGGTTCTCTCCTTCTACCTCTCTGTGGCTTTCAGAGATCAAACCCAGGTCGACAGGTTTGGGGGACAAGGTGTTTATGATTAGGTCTGTTTTCATATCTCTTTTTTAATTGTCTATGTTTTTTATGTATTTAGAATTTGTATTTGCAGGGGGTCTTGTTGTGTTTTGTTTAAGGCAAAATCTTGCTCTGTATTCCAAGCTGCCTGTAGCCCATGCTCTTCCTGCTTTGGCCTCTGGACTACTGAGATTACTGGTTTACTGTCTCACCTCCAGATCTTTGTAATACTGTGTTCATATATTTTTCTCTCTACCTGTTTAGTATATTTATCTATAATGGTACAGACTCAAAGTATCTACGGTATTTTACAATTTTTATGTGTCTGGGTGTTTTTCCTGCATGTGTGGCTCTGCACCATGTGCATGCACCATGTGCCCACTGAGGTCAGAACCAGGTCCTCTAGAAGAGCAGCCAGTGATCTGAACTGCTGAGCAGTCTTCTCCAGCCCCGCTAACCCTTTTTGTTTGGTTTGGTTTGTCTTGAGGTAGGGTTTCACTATGTAGTCCTGCCTGATCTGGAACTCTCTGTTAGACAAGGCTAGCCATAAATCCATAAACTACTCCTGCTCTGCCTCTCAAGTACTACGTGAAAGATGTATGCCGCCATAACTTCTATACTGTTTTAAACAAATAAGGCCATAATACATACTATTTACCCATCAGAAAATATCTCTAATCTTCTAGTGCTGTGAGTATACAATCCAAAGACAGGAGAGCCTTGTCAACCTTTGCCCTCCAGTGCAAGTCCTTCCGCCATGAGGCCGAGGGAATGTAGGCTTAGGTGTGGTCCTCAAGCAGCGTTTGCCGCAGCACGTAGTCAGACTTTCTTTGGCTTGATCATTTTTCATACTCCACCTACTTCAGGAAGATGGGAGGCATCTCTCTGGTGCTGAGAACAAGCAATGCCTTACAGCTTGCCTTCTTGCCATTTTGTGCATTGTGCTACATTGTATCTAATTTTATATTTGTGGCAGTTGTTTTCTGTCCCTTAACCTGGTTAAGGGAACCAGAACTCTTCAGAGTGGTCTTCAAGTCAAACAGAAATTTTGACTTGAAGTCAATAAGGAGTTCATTGCCGGGTTAGTATATCCGAGCCAGGAAGAGACAGTACAGACAGACCTGAGCTTGCTGCTGACCTGGGCGACTTTCCTCACCCTCTGGCTTCAGTTGTGTGGCATTAGAACCAGTGCTGCTGACTGACTAAGAGAACACTCCTCACAATCAGACATTTGGATTCGGGTTCTGACTCCTGCATGTCGTAGCATTCTAATTCCTGGAATGTTCCACACCTCAGTTCCTCAAAGCTTCTAAGGAAATATATAAGAAACCTTAGGATAGTGCATGGTGAATGCCCAGAATTTGTTAGATTTTATCATCATGAGCCACAAAAGTATTTATGAGCTATTGTGAAACCTAAGGAATTCATAATGCTGGTTATATGCACCACAAATGCTAATTCGTTGACTTTAAAAAGACATTTCCCATTTATTTTTATTTTTTGGAAGGAAGTTTTTGTTTCTGGGCATCTGCCTTTATGTTAAGCAGCTCACTACTGGAGGCTGTTTCATTATTAGTTCTTTCTGCTGGAGCGGAGGGGGTCATTTTGTTCTGAGTTTAGCATATCCAGCTGCCTGAACCTTGCCTTTCTCTCACTCTGACCCAAGGTGGTGGATATCTTGACTTTTCTAAATTGACCTCCATGTGGTCTCACAGAATAGTTGAAAAGAAGAGCTCTTCCCTGGAGGCCATGGATTACAGGTCTTTGCTTTTGAAAACAGTTAAGATTTTATTACTCACTAAGTAAGTGGCCTGTTTGGTATGTGCAGTGAAATCCTGTTCTGCCAGCGTTACAGCTGCATACCTTATTAAATCATCAGGAAGTATGAGCAGGGCTGAAGTGGGGCTGAGCTCGAGAGCACTTCCAAGCCATGGGTTTGAGCCTCAGCACCACAATAGGAAAACGACAAAAAGTATAGCTAAGCAATGAGACCGCTAGCAGATCCTGCCTGCTTCCTGTGGATGAAGACAAAGAGAATGGGGATTCTTCTGTTTTCTGACTCACATTTGTAATCTTCCTGCCTCACCTCTTGAATGCCTTGATTACAGGTGCGCACATCCACATCCAGCTAAACAGGAGCATCATTTTCTTTCTTTCTTTTTCCTTTTCTTTTATTCTGCCTGTTTCGTTAGATCCCAAACCAGTATGCTAGGTAAATGCTTTACTACTGAGCTATATCCACAGCACTAAAGGAGAGTCCCTAATGGCAAATTTCTCATTCTGATGAGGTAAGAGTTGAATTCCTACACTTCGCAGGTGGGGAACCTGAAGCATACACAGAAGCTTGATCAGACAGCAGATCAAGGTCACTGATAGTTGCTAGAAGGATACCTCCAACGCTCAGGCTTCTTCTGGAGCTTGTCCTACCTTCCCATGCTGATGTCTAGGAGGAAAGTGCTCTCTAATAGAGAACCAAAGTAGGCAGTGTGGTTGTTTCTCACCAGTGACCCATTTCCTCTGGCTTTCTCACTGAGCTTCAACATAGACTTTCCTTCCCACTGAGCAGAATGTCCTCCCCAGTTCCCCTTTGTTCTTTCCCGGTCTTTGATTTCTGAAATGTGGCTGGGCCTGCTTAGCATGCTCAACAGTGCAGCAGGAAGTAGCTCCCATGGCTTAGTGTAGATTAGCATGCTCAGCACTAACCAGCTTCTGTCTGAGGTTTGGGGCTTTAAAAGGCTTTGTAAGTCCTACTTCTCTCCTTTTTGGAAGGGTGGGGATGCAAACAAGCAGTCCTAGTACAGTGCAGTTATTTCTGATGAAAGAGGGCTAAAAACAGTAGGTCCACGGAAAGACCCTTCTCACAGTGAAGAAACAGTATCTAAGTCCAGACTGAGACTGAGGCTGTTAACAGACATAGCAAGAAACAGCTGCACTGAGAAAAAAGTGTGGCCGGTTGTGGTGGCGCATGCTAGTAGGATTTGCTGAAGGAGGTGGAGGCAGGAGGATCACAAGAAAAAGTGTGATCACCAAAACTGACCCACAAATGAAGAGGTGTTTGGCAATGTTGTGTGTATGCTGAGATTCCACCCCTGAAATGTGACTCCTCAGAGGGCATCAGAGCTAACAATTGCACTGAGTGCGGGAAGCCAGTGTTTTACACAACAGCATCTTTTTTTCTATACCAGAAAGATTTGCTTAGCTTACTATCAGAATTTATTCTTATGGTTCTTTGTCTGGAAGACTGTGTATCTTGTCTGAAAGAACTGGAGGAGGAAGAAAGCCGGCCAGCCTGAATCCAATCCCTGAAATCCATTTAAAGATGGAGAAGAGACACCAGAGTGGCATCCACATTCCTATACACACATAATGCACACTCACAAATATTAAAATAAATGTAGGAAAATGGGCTGGGGTTGGAGCTGGATGGTAGAGTGCTTGCCTAGCTTGCATGAGGCCCTGGATTCTATTCTCAGAACTGAAAATACAAAACACCACTTTTTAATGTGTTTGGTGTCCCTTAGGTGCCAGCATCCCCTGATTGACATAGGCTTGGTTCTCTTAGGGGATGTGTGAGTGGCTCCTTCATCAGGGTTGACTGCCTTATGTCTGGATGCCACAGCTTACCAGAATCTTCTTTTTGTTTCAGGTCTCTGTCCTGAGTTGCCCTGACCCAGTGGTGCATGAGATTGCCTATCAGTATGGGAAAAACGTTGGAATAGCTTTTCAGGTTGGTTTGCCTGTGTGTGGGAATGGTGATGTGTAGGCATAGCCTGCATTAGCCTCAGTGTAAAGCGTTCAAAGCAGGGAGGACAGTGGGTGTGACTCATCTCTCCTTTCACCAGCTCATAGATGATGTATTGGACTTCACCTCATGTTCTCACCAGATGGGCAAGCCAACATCTGCAGACCTGAAGCTAGGCTTAGCCACCGGCCCTGTCTTGTTTGCTTGCCAGCAGGTAGGTTTTATTATCTTTGAAGCACAGCTGAGGAGCTCTTTGGAACTAATATCTTTAGGCACAGCTGGTAAAGTGTGAGATTAAGAACAGCTGGAGGCATTTAGATAAGGGACCACAGATTTTATCCTGGTTTCATAACTGAGATGTTAGGGTGCTAATTATACTTCTATAAGCCTTATCAGTGAAATACAGATTATAATCTCAGTTGTTGTGAGGGCTAGTTAATAATACTCATTATCTTGTAAATCAGAAAGTGCTGTGTGAACTTAATGTATTTTGGGTGTTGCAACGTTGACAATTGGGTGTGCCTCAAAGCCTCTTAAAGGTACAGGAAGTGCCAAGGGTGTCTGTCTGAGAAATTGATACGTTCTAGGAGTTTAATGGAACTGTGTGCACCCTGAGAGAAGCCTGGGAGCCTTAGCCATTGCTCCAGAATGTGAAGAAGAAGTCTATTAAATGCACCAGAACCACATAGTTCCTTCCTTTTCCAGACTGGGAGACTGTCAAGGAAGTAAGTGAAGCTGCTTTCCTTGTCATCCTTAATATAGAAGAGATGCTTAGGAAGCCTCAAAGATACTGCAGTGACTGTCAGAGCAGCCATTTTCATAGCTTCTTTTGGACTCTAGCCATATGCTTTTGGCTATGCCAAATGCTACTTGGAATAAATGAGCCATTAGCTGTGAGTGGGTATCTTTAAAACAAATATCCATCTGAGTGGCATTTAATTGGTTATTTATCAGTGTAATAAGATGATCATCACCAACTACCTTTTGGGCCTAAAATTTTTAAAACTCTTATCAGTGTTCTCATAAATTTTACTTATATTCTTTCTTTAACATGTAAGTCAACTTCTCTAGCATTAAGTAGCTCCATTTTGATATTAAAACCAATGACCTTCCTTTTGATTCATTTCTGATTCAAGAAAGGGAAGAGATGATCTTTCACCCTCTTATCTAGCAGCCACTCCGGGTGATGGTGATTCATCCTAGGGAGGCCGATGTCTGGATGACTGGACTGGATCCCATGGACAGTCTCAGTCATCCTAGGGAGGCTGATGTCTGGATGACTGGACTGGATCCCATGGACAGTCTCAGTCAACTGAAGAATAAAGACTATGGAACCGAGACGATGGGGCACTCAGAAACTTCTATCCTCATTACCACACTCCATCTTCTCAGAATTGTGAGGTCAAGTGCAGTGAAAAGTGTGCAGTTCTGATACGGCAGCACAGACCTGTAAACCCAACATCCAGAGGCTGATGCAGGAGGATCATAAGTTGGAGGGCAGTCTGAGTTACATATATTTAACATTTAAGCATTTAACAAAAAAAACCCCAAAAAAAAAACTCTCAGAAATAAAAAAAGAAAAAGAAAAAAGACAACAAAATATAAGCATGCTATGAATGGTCGGTCCCTTCTCCCATGAAACTGAGACTTATTAACTCACTACCCAGTATTTAGGAAGATTACTAATATATATGCCAAATTTAAAAATATTTTAAGAAAACCTTTTGTACATTAAAGCTTTAGTAAGGAACATTTTCTGTTATGCCATAACTCCATACATAGTACTCCTGAGCCATGTATATAAATGTGTATAAATGAAAGTATATCTGATAATAGAAAAATTAGTCATTGGCCAGCATTTGTTGTGCAATTACAGACCTTCATCTCAGTCACAGGTTAGTATGCATAAGTAGAGGACAGCTCAAATAAAGCTCAAGTCAAGTCCCATTCTCAAAGCCAACTAGCTCAGTGAAGATTCAGCTAGGCCCAGAGCCTTTCCCTGATTTAGTCTATAAAGACTAAATTTGGTTTGTTCTGCTTTTAGAAATCTCAGCAATTATAAATACTTGTCATGAGCGCCATGAGACAAGTGGAATAGACTGGTGTCTTTTGATTGTTTCATTACATTATTCCTAAAGAGCCACAGTTTACTTTCCTCTACAGAACGGATTAATAGCTGGTTATGCATTCAGATACAATGGTACAAAGTGGGAACAGAAACAGAATGCACAGCTCTTATGATTGATCTGTCTATAATTCACAGCAGATGGGAAATTGCCGAGGTTTTATATTTGCTTGTCTGGTTGGTTGGTTGGTTGGTTGGTTAATTGTTCTTGAAGTAAGAACAAGGAAAAGGAACAGAAGGTTACCCAAACTATGGTTTTATGTGTGCTTACTGGGAAATCCCAGAATCACACGTCACCCAGTTATTCTGACCAGACAGCACTTTCCCCAGTTTGCCTGTGAGGCAATGGGAACAAGTTACAAGGCATAGTGCAACCCCCAAAAGGAAACATGATGAGGCTGAGCAGGAACTTACTCTGGACAGGACTCATTTCGCATTCTGGCACATAGACCAAAAGTTAATCAAATATATATTTATACTTAGTCAAGCATGTATTTACAAATTGTTCTCAAAACCCTGAATTTAGGACCTTTTATGGATTAGACTGTTAAAAAGAGGTTCTTAGCAAGAAATCTGTCAAAAGTTCATGGGGCTTAAAATAACTTTGGGTAAATCAAGTTCAGAAAATAATGCAGGATTATACAGTATCTTGCTTTAATAAAACTGTGTTGATTTTAGTTTATAAAGGATTCTTTCTTACACTGCCCTGCTCTCACAGTTCTGCTTTGTGGTAGATAACTGTTTGTTATATAATGAAAATGATGCTCATGTCTGGCAAAACGGAACATCTGGTAGATGGCACAGAAGGCCATCTTTTCCAAGTCTTCTAAGTCTGGCATTCATTTTACTATACTTGAATTGCTCCTGCAACTAACAGTGTGGATAATAGTACCCACAGACCAGGTAACTGGTATGTCCTAGCACTGAAGATACACTGCACACTGTATCCACTATTATTAGTGATTAACATAACACATTTACTAGAGTACATGTAAGGTGTTTGTAAACCTTTCCCATGGTCTGGTGTCTTGTCCACAGATTTGTCTTTGAACTAATCTATCTGTGTAACACTGAAGGTCTTCCTCTGAGATCCTAGGTCTTCCCCAAACTGGTGGCAGTCTTCTTGCTTCAGCCTCCCAAGTCCTAAGATAATAGCCATGTCCACCAAACCTGGCTTGCTTTTTCCTTTTTAATGCTGCATGATAAGTAATCTTAACATTAGAATTTGCTAGGCTAAAAACTATTTAACTGATTCTCCTATTTTTGATACCTTGGGAAGGATTTCCTCATGGCCATTGTTCAGGCATTGTTCCTGATGGCCAAGGTGTTTTCAGGAGGCTATGGCTCATTGGTAGAGACTTGGCTAGCATGTATATGGCCCTGGGTTTGATTCTTAGTGTGCATGTATGCAACACACACACACACA